AACCAGCATACATTGCCATTGAGAATACAAAATAGTACCGCCACTACGGAAAGAGTCTGATCAATCCTACAAGGCTTACACACAGTTCCATGCAACCAAGCAATTGCACTGCTAGGTGTACACCTAGGAGAAGCGATGACGAATGTCGGGCCTATAACGTGTGCACAGGTGGTCACAGCCGTTACCAATGACAGCCAAAACGTGCCAACACCATCACCAAGTGAAAAGCACATGAACAAAATGTAGCACAGACACGTTATGACATGCCCGCAGAAAACAAACGCAGTGCTGACACAGCTACAACACAGAGGAGCCCTAAAAACACAGGAGGCAGGGGTGGGCGGCTGGCCTGGTGGTTAAGACGCCAGTGAAAATGACCAAGTCCCACCTCCGAGGATCTGTGTTCGAGTTCCAGCCTCAGCACCGGCTTCCTTATGCCAGCTCTGCAAAGCAATGGCCGCGGCTCAAATAACTGGGTTTCTGCAACCCATGTGGGACCTGGACTGAGCTCCCGGGCTGCCTGCTTTGCCCAGGTCCAGCCCAGCCATTGTGGCACCTGGGAAGTGAGCCAGCGGAGGAGTGTGCTCTCACCTTGCCAACTGATAGAAGCCAGTTACAAAGGCCCACAGAGGGACGTAAGACACTTCCCACAGGGACAACAGGAGCACGGAGGGTGCCTGGACCTGGGAGGGGCTGAGCGGGGCTCAGGGCGGTTTTCTGAGCAGCGTGCAGGTTCTTTCTGCGGTGATGGAAACGCTATTTGGTTATGGTAATGGCTGCACGGCTCTGTGAACACAGTAAAAGCCATTTAATTGGGCACTTTAAACAGGTGAGCTGATGGTATGTGAATTTTATCTCAATAAAGTCATCTTTTAAACAGAAAATCTTTAATGATTGTTTCAAAATCCTATTTTCCGTTCCTTCAGGGAGCCAGTGATGTCCTTTCCCGACACAAAACATGGCAAAACCACCGTGCCAGAAAACTACCAGTATTCGGTGTGCACGGGCGGCCCTTCCTTCTAGAAAAACTAGCCTTCCAGTCACTCGGCAGTAAACAACCTACTTTGGCGGCTCTAACAGTGAGAAATTAGAAATGCTGACGCGCTCAGTACAAAAGGTGAGACAGAGTCTTTAACGACATCAAAATCAAAGATGTTTTTCTGCCAATCAATGTCATCTCCCCTGTGTCAGAACCCATTCAGTGACCTAAGAATTACCAACGGGTGTGACTTTCACAAGGTGAACTCCCACAGCTGAATCATCAGAAGGAAGAGGCTCGGCCAGAAAAAGAAAACGTGGCTCATGCAGCAGCTGTGGGGTCATGGGGAGGTGCTGAGCCTTTCCAAGCCGCATTTACTAAACCTGCAAAACGAGAAAAAGCCAGTTGACAGTCTCGTGATTCTGTAAGGACCTGGTGACAGTCACCAGCAGACTCTGAAACTGCCGTCACACTAGTGAGCTCCGAATCTGGGGCACTGGGTGTGTGGCACAACTCAGACGCCAGGCAGGTGCAGCAGAGTTCGGCAGGCAATGAAAGACACGAGGCAAAAGGAAAGAAGTGTTCACCGTTCAGACTCTCAGAAGGCGGGGAATGGGAGCGCAGGGTGTAGCAGTTAAGAGGCTGCTCGGGCCCCTGCATGCCATAACCACAGCGTCGGGGTGCGAGCTCCCAACTCTGCTTCCAGGTTCCTGCCCCAGCGTGGAAGACTTGGCCTGAGTTATGGGCTCCTGGCTTCAAGCCTGGCCCAAACTCCAGGCTGTGTGGTTACTTGGGGAATGAAGCAGTGGCTGGAAAATCTGTGTCTGTCTGTCTTTCTCTGAATGCCTTTCAAACAAATAAAAATCAATAAATAAAAAATCAAAAATAGACAGTGCGAAGCACCTCAATTAAGAATACATGAAAATATGAGATTTTAGATGAACAATTAACAACTATTTTCAAGGGTTTTTATAAAGCCATAAAACTGGTAAATTACATACTGATTCTGTGCATAAGCTCTAACTGCTAACAATTCCAGAGTCTGAAGTTATGGCTAAGGTAGTTCACCAAAAGTGTATTTGCTTATAGCCATGTCCCTGCTGTCCCCCACGTCAGGTGAGGTAAACAGACAGCCAGGGAAGCCACAGGGTACAAGACAGCAGCACGCAGAAAGCTCACCTTACAAAAAGGAAGCATGGGGCCACTGAGGAGCTGCAGTGGCTTCGGCCACCAGCACCCCCCATATCTGAATGCTGGTGCGAGTGTGATGCACACATCTGCCAATGTGCCCTTGAGGGCACTTGCAACTCACACTGGAGTCGGATGGAGTTCCAGGCTCCTGGCTTCAGCATGGCCAGGCCTGGCTGTTGTAGGCTTTTGGGAAGCAAACCAGCTGATAGAAAATCTGTATGTGTGTTTGTGGTGTGTGTGTGTGTGTGTGACTCTGCCTTTTCAACAAATAAATAAATCTCAAAAAATAAAACAGCAAACACGCTTTCACGTACACATAACTACACGTGAGTCCCACAAAGCATGAGTTGGGCGCTGAGGAACCTGGTTGACAATGCCTAGGTCTGAATACGAGCACAAGCTAGTTTTCTCGCCCTTTTTTATTTCAGTTTTTCACCCAGGCCCTCTGGTGTTACAGGAAAAGCACACACAGGCAGACTGACTGGCATTACTGCAAATCTACTCTCCTGGCTGGTTACCTGGCAACCAGGTGTCCTGTCCAGTCTTTTCCATCTCAGCCTTCCAGCAACAGCTCTACGGATCACAGTTGTTTCCTCCAGGCCGCTGCTGTGTGGCCTGCAAGCCCCAGCCTCATCAACAGAGAAAACGAGCCACACACAGCTCACACTGCTTCAGCTTCCCTCGACTCCCACCCACAGCACACGTGTCTCCTACTCGTCCATCACACTGGGAAATCTCGACTCCCACCCACAGCACACGTGTCTCCTACTCGTCCATCACACTGGGAAATCTCGACTCCCACCCACAGCACACGTGTCTCCTACTCGTCCATCACACTGGGAAATCTCCACTTCCCACCCACAGCACACGTGTCTCCTACTCGTCCATCACACTGGGAAATCTAGACTCCCACCCATAGCACACGTGTCTCCTACTCGTCCATCACACTGGGAAATCTAGACTTCCCACCCATAGCACACGTGTCTCCTACTCGTCCATCACACTGGGAAATCTAGACTTCCCACCCATAGCACACGTGTCTCCTACTCGTCCATCACACTGGGAAATACACACCTGACTCAGCTTCGCTCAAGTGTCTGCCAATGCTAAGCGAGGAGCCACTTCATGCACAGTAATTAATGCAGACCCCACAACAATCTCACAAGGTTAAGTATTCTGGTTAGAAAACGGAAGCTCAGATGATTTCTCCAAGGCTCATCATTAATGAATGACAGAGAACATATCTGAATCCAGGCTGTCTACAAACACACCCCTTGCCTCTGAAAAGAGGTCTGGGGCCACCCTACACCCGTAAACTTACTGTTACTCTACGTTCTTTCCTGCTTTCCTAATGAGCACCAAGATACTGAAACTGTCACACTTAAGTGAGCAGGCTGACTTACACACTGCATGCAATATGACGGTACTCCAAAAAGTTCAAAACCTGGAACTAAAAGATCAATTTGTTTTAATGCCAAATGATTAAAATCAATGCACAGTTTTCATAATATTCATTTCCATTAATTTCTGATCTATTTCATATATCTGAATATGTTTATATATTAGTTACATAATGCAATTTTTAACCAAAATGATTTAGTGCCATCAGGGCTGAAAGGTAACTGACTCCTGAATTTCCAAGAAAAATTCTCCAACACCAGGTTATGCTGATACCCTCTTTCTGCTCATCTGCAGAGTAGAAACGACAGATGAAAACGTCCGCTTCTTCAGTTTCCCAACGACTTCTCAGCGTGGCAGAGACCAATTCCTCCCAAGACAGAAACTGACACCTACAGATACGGCTACCACATTTTACTACCACATTTTACGACTACGCCTTCCCTCGCTGGCTGCACAGCTTTCTCAGATGATTTTTAGGAAAACTTTACCGGTGTGAGTCTGCAGAGACTCATCCTGCATCTCCTGGCTTTATCATGCTGCTCACACAAAGGATTAATTCCCTCCATCCCGATCACATCGACCCCTTTGTCTTCTGTTTGAAGGGCGAAGCTGAACATGGTAAAACCCCATGAGAGCAGGAGCGGGAGTCTATTTTGCTCAATACTCTATCCCGACACCTACACAGAAGTCGATGCTGAGCAAACATTTGTTGTAACAAATGGCAGCAAGGAAGAAAACAGGGGGCCCTGGGGTGCCTTTGACAAAAGCCCCTGGAACAGATGTGTGAATGTGCTGAACACAGATGAGAATAAAGTAGGAGATTAGAAGTCGGAGTCTGTGTCTTTACGCTTTAGTCTAAAATGTGTTTGCTCGTAACAACACTCAGTTAAAATTTCTTTTAATGCAGTTTTCAGTAGCAGTTTTATCATTTGATTCAAAATAAGCCAAACAAAGACCAAGGAATAACGTGTGTATTTTAAACACACACATACAGCATCTTTTTGTGTAACTAAATCTGTATGCTAAAAGATAGCTCCTTGCAGAGCAGAGTGAGCTACCTAAATCCAATAAAGGATGCCACTTGTGTCTTCTGGTTCACAAGAAGTTTGCCATTCACTAATAAAATTCAGGAACCCACGCATATTTATCATTGCATTCGTTTTTCAACAAATACTGCAAAAGATTACACAGTGTGAGAAATGTCACCTAAATGCTAAAAATCCCTGTAAATATCAATTCTTAATGGTAGGTTCCTTGTGCATCATTAAAATGAATACCAGCTCTTGTCCACTTTCAGTAACTCTGAGCCCCGAATCCACCCACTTGTGAATTCACTACGATTCAAGTATCAGCTGTAGCTTGCCCATGAGTTTCCATTCCCCAAACTACGAGGCATTTCAGAAACTGAACACGGGAACCAGGTACGCACCTCCATCCATCCTTCTGGAGGTAACTGAAGGCTCCATCAACCACACTTGCAAAGAACTGGCCCCCAGTGATGAAGAGGGTGTTGATGGTGACCAACCGGCCTCTCAGGTTGGGTGGTGAGACCTCGGCGATGTACACAGGCACAGTCATAGAGGCAATACCTGTCAAGAAATAGGAAAGGGCAAACGTGAGACATCTACTCAAGACCTCCGCCGTTCTTCCCAACAGCCGGCATGGGTGTTTGCCACTGTGGCTACGATGCTGCTTGGGATATCCTCACCCACAGCAGGGTGCCCGGCTTCTGATCCTAATCCCAGCTTCCTGCTCATGTAGACCCTGGGAGACAGCAGTTGGGTCCCTGCTGTGCACATAGGAGACCCAAACTGAGTTCCCAGTTCCTGGTTTTGGCCTAAACCAGCCCCAACTCTCACAGGCATCTGGGGAAAGAACCAGCAGATGGGAGGTCTGTCTGTCTGCCTCTGTCTTCCTGTTTTTTCAAATAAATGAAAAAATAATTTTATTAAAGACTCATTTTATTTATTTGAAAGGCAGAGTTACAGAAAGGGGGCGGGGGAGAAGTCATGCATCCACTGGTTCAATCCCCAGTTGGCAGCAATGTCTTGAGCTGGCCCAGCTGAAGCCAGGAGCTTCTTCCAGGTCTTCCACATGGGTGCAGGGGCCCGAGCATTTGGGCCATCATGTGCTGCTTTCCCAGACAGGGAAGCCGGATTGGAAATGGAATATCCGGTACTCGAACAGGTGCCCATATGTGATGCTGGCACTGCAGGTGGTGGCTTAACCCACTATGCTGCAATGCCAATCTCAAAAATAAAAAAAAGAATTATTATTTCTATATTAAGACATAAACATACATATATGGGCTTGATTTTCTATTTGAAATGGATTATCATCTTCTTAAAGATTTGGTGTGTGAAAGAAAAGGCTACCACAAAACACACCGAACACCAGATGAAGGGAAAAGTTTTACTCTCATATGGGGGAAACCCGACGGTTGCCTCCCCGTGCACAAGAGAAACAGCAGCCCATACTAGGAGAACAGGTCATAGATAGCTTTGTAGAGGTAAAGAAGTGGGAGCAGCGAATCCCGTCAGGATGGGGGAGGAGCTGGCGCTTGCATTTGGGCCATTTGGTCACTTGACTTCAAGTAAGTTAGGACTACGCTTACTGTACAAGATGGCAACGGGGCCAGAGCCCAGGACGGCATCCGGGGCTTGGAAGGCACCACAGAAGACGGCACCATGTTACTCTCAGAGTGTACTAGCTCGGGGCTTCCACAAGACACACAGAGCACCATGGGACACTCCAGTCTCGAGAGTACCATTTTTCACATTACCACGTGGAAGCCTAACATGACAACGCCGCTGAAGACCTAAGATAACCTTAGAGTGCCTACGAATGAGCCTTCTCACTTCCTCCAGATAAAAAACACAAAGACGGGGCGTGCACTGTGGCACAGCGGAAGCTGCTGCCTGTGATGCTGTGGTGTTTCCAACTTCCAACACTTCTGAGTAGCTCGCCTAAAACTAGTATCTAATCCATACTCAACAAAAAAAACTAAGCAGGGTTACTAAGAAAATTTAGTCTTTGTTTCTGCAGATGCTGCAAACTGACCCCTCAATTCAGCCAGAACCTCAGTATGTTGTATATCGGACTCACACAGAATTGACTTCAACAAGTTGACCTCAACGATGCCAAACAGTAGTGCGTGCTGAAGGCGGCAGCACCGAGAAGCCTGTGGCTGTGTTTTCTGCTGGCAGTGCCATCTGTCACATTTCCTACAGTAAGAGACATTTCTCAACCATCTCAGTAACTACAAGAGATGTGCTTCTCAATGACTGATACTTCTGTTGTTGATGCCCATTAAAAATCGCATAGCATTTCTTGCTTCTCACTCTACAGAGACAATCGAAGAGATCTGCCTCTCTCTGCCCAGTGTTATGGGCTTCATATTTGTTTTGTGAACTAAAATGCCTTCTGATATCCTGATGCGCTAAATCTTCACTTTTATAAATATATTTTTCACTCTTTTTATTAGTTTTGTATTTGAACAAGCCAAATAAATGGACAGACCGATCAAAGTAATATGTATTTACTCATGAAAAATTCACTGTGTTATTTACAACAACATGCACACAAGTCAGACTCCTAAGTCCCAGAGCTGGGGTCAGCACTGGGTGGGAAGCAGGTTAAGCTGGTGTCACATATGAGCACCAGTTCAAGTCTTGACAGACAAATCCTCTACATTGATCCAGCTCCTTGCTAATGTACCTGGGAAAGCAGTGGAAGATGGCTCAACTACTTAGGACCGCAACCCACGTGGGAGGCCCAGATGGAGTCCCAGACTCCATGCCTTGGGCTAGCGCAGTCTCACTTGTGGCCTTTTGGGGAGTGAACCAGTGGATGGAAGATCTGTCTCTGTGTGTGTCAGAATGCCCTTCAAATAAACAATTTTATTTAAAAAAAAAAAAAAACTCAGAAGTACACATGGTTATTTCCACCAATGTCATTTGTTAAATAGCATTTGTCAATATATAGACACTAAAAATAATCTTATGATTTTATGAGCTTCACAGACTAACAGGCATGTGTTAGATGTTGTCTGTACAATTAAATCATTACCTACACAGCTGAAAATTTCCACTTGACTGCTAAGCCGTTTAACAGCACAGACTACCCCCAAAATCCTTCATTTAACTTGGAAAGAAGAAACGTTTGCTGCCAATGTTGACAACTTAATTGCATATTCTCTTAGCTCTTTTACTTGTACAACATCTCGATCAACTTTTAAAAACCAAACACCAGTTCATCATTTGGATTTTGTTTGCTGCTTCAGTGTGGTCGTTAATAGCAACTCAGCTGCTCCCTTCAGTCCGGGAGCCACGACCACTGTCTAGACCGCAAGTCCCGGCAAAGGGGAAATCAGGAGGATGGTTTATAACACCAGAGCACTGACAAGCAATAGGCAATGGCAAGAAGAGAAGACTAGAGAACCAGAAGGGACAAAACCACCCAATGGAGAGTTGGAGAGAAACCCAGAGGAGTGTTTAAACAACTGCCTGTACTATGTTAGAGAACTTACACAGGGCCACCACCTGACTTAATCCTCAAAAATGCCTGGGAAGCCCAAGTGCTTGGGCCCTGCACCTGCATGGGAGACCAGGAGGAAGCACCAGGCTCCGGGCTTCAAATCGGCGCAGCGCACCGGCCGTGGCGGCCATTTGGGGAGTGAATCAATGGAAGGAAGACCTTTCTCTCTGTCTCTCTTTCTCCCTAACTCTGCCTGTAAAAAAAAAAAAAAAAAAAAAAAACTGCCTGGGAAGGACATGTCCCCTGCTCTCCCTCTCCAGGAGTAGGGCCTAGACCCAGGGCGCATGATAAAGGAGTAGAAGAACCAGGCAGTGAGACCCCAAGCAAGGAGTTTAGGGGCTGAGCATCACACCCAAGGGTGGGCTCTGCCACCAGTGGATTTCAACTCCAACCTTGCCTCTTTCCAGCTGGGTACACAGAGCAACTTGCTGCAGCTTTCTGGGCCCCCAACTCCTTGCCCATAAAATGTGAAGAATCGCAATAAAAGTCTCAAGGACCCCCGCAGAGGGGTTGAGAGAGTTCAGTGAGTGAGCACAGCACAAGGCTTTGTGTCTAGCATACGGAAGGCAGGCGGCAGCATCAACAATCATTTCTCTTATCACCATTATCTCTAGCTGTGAGGCATCCCTATTGTTTCAATTTATTTCAATCTGGATTACGTGTGGATGTGATAAACACAAACAAGAAAAGATACAAAGGAAGCTACATGCAACCCCTACTGACAAACACTTGCAATCAAACTTCACAATGACACGGGACGGGTGGGGGTGAAGCTCTACCCTGAGTTCTAACTTGTGATGCTGGCAACTGTTGCACACTGACCGTGAGTGGACAATAGCTACCAAAGACCCAGCAGACAGTTCTGCACAGAGAAGTAGGAGCTTTAGGGTGGGCGTTGTGGCACAGTGGGTTAAACCACCCCTTGCAACGCGGCCATCCCAGATCGGAGCAGCAGTTCCAGTCTGGCTGTTGTGCTCCCAATCCAGCTCCCTGCTAGCATGCCTGGGAAAGCAGTAGAAGACGGCCCCAGAACTTGGGACCCCGCCACCTGTGTGGGAGACCAGGATGGAGTTCCTGGCTCCTGGCTTCTGCCTGGCTCAGACCTGGCTGTCGGCTGCCGCCTGGCGAGTATACCAGTGGGCAGAAAATCAATCCCTCCCTCTCTTTCTGTTGCTCTGCCTTTCAAATTAATAAATTAATTTAAAAACTAAAGAAGAACAAGGAAGAAGAGGGGAGCAGCCGCAGCAACATGAGCCTTAAGACATAAGGAATGACACAGGGTCTTCGGAGAAGCAGATAGAGAGACCAAGACAGAGTAAGTGTGTGGATGACGTGGGGGAGGGAGAGACCCAAGCATCTGAATAGTGGACAGGAGAAAAAGGCATGATCACATCACATTTGTAAAGAATCATTCTGGCTGGAGTATGGAAAAGTGATTGCAGCTGACTAACAAGTCTGAGAAGTCTTCACAAAGCTTGTGGAAAACAAAATTGAAAATAAAAATTATGAACTTTATTCTTCAACAGCTCCATCAAGTTCAAGACACTACTGCAAGCAACAGTATCGGCCACTGAGTCCATCCCTACAGTACCAAGCATGCCAGGGGTAACCATGTCAATGTGCTCCTTTTTACATGACCAACTGAAGACGAGTGTCCCTTAAAGATCAAGATGAGAAAACAGTCAGAGAGAGTCAGAGGGAGTCAAGTCAGGACAGAGAGACACACACTTAATGGTTTCCCATGGACACCCACAAAACTGCCCTCCTGTGACAAGAGCAGTAAGCAGGAGCCTTGTGGTGGAGAAGGACCGTGGTGAAGTTTTCCCAGGTGTTTCTTGCGAACATTTTAGCTGACTGCCTCAAAATCTTCTCCTAATAAGCAAATATTCTTGTGCTTTGGCCTCCAGAAAGCATCATAATGTCTTCAGCAACCCCCAAAACACTGTTTCCATGACGTTCTTCCCCTGAGCAACCCACTTCTGCTGCGACTGGACCACTTCCCGCTCTATGGAGCCATTGCTTTGACTGCGCTTTGTCTTCAGATCACAGCACG